AAAAATGCGACTCTACGACAGTAGATCCCACTTTTCTCAGCCCTGGGGTCGAGTATCAAAAATCTGTCTGATGAAAAGTTAGCTCTAATTAATACCTTGAAAACAAAAAAAAACATTGGTTACAAGCCGAGTCGAGTGGGAGTTATTTCAATTTTTGTGTTTAGAAACCCTATTTTCAGAAAAATGCTCAAGAAGTTTTAGAAATGAATTTTTTCATTCAAATCCAGAACAAATCATATTACAATAGTATATTCCACCGGATCCTTTTAAAGAACGTACGAGATGAAGGTAACTAACGCCCTGTGACATGCCGATGAATATAAAAATATTTTATTTAATAATAATGCAAGTGGAAGCACAATTTTTCTGAAACTGAAAAACCAGGAAATTTTCTCCCAAAATATGGTAGTAGATTTAAAGTTTCACGTCATAAGTCTTTGAAAATTGAATCATTTTCCAAAAGGTTATACATATTCTGAAAGAGGAAGCTTCGCTGCATCTGTCTGTGATAAAAACTCGATTTTCTAAGGGGAGGGGCTTTTAATTAATTTTTTCCAATTTTGTTTACATTATTTCAGGCTATCTTGAAAGTGCCGTATCAATAAATTTTATGACATTCATATTAATTATTATTATGTTAAAATGCGATGCTATTCGAGAAATCGTGTGAAGATCGATTTTAATTGATTCTTGCTTTTTGTTTGTATTAGCTTTATTTTATTAAATATATTTTCATATTCTATAATGTAGAGCCGAATTACAAAACATCCTACGTATTACATTTGAAATTGTGGGTCATAATTTGAATTTCAAAATAGTTGCAAGCGAATTGATCCTCTTAATATTCTATATTCTAACAATCTAAAATATTATTCCTTATTACTAACAAGTTGGCAAAGGTTCTTTTTACTTGAAATTATGAGTAAATTTATTGTATTCCATTCATCCATCTATCAAAGACAAAGAAAAAATAATTTGATGATAGTACAATGAGAAATCGAACTTTTATTGATTTCGAATTTTCTTTGCGAAGTGAGTATCATATCTTATGCTTATGTGTTTGGTTCGCTTTCTTCAATCTTTCTATATACATTTTTTTCTTGCGTCCTGTCATTATGCATATGCCTATATATATACATTCTTTCGTTCTGTGAAGTAAACGCAGGTACGAAAATTATCAGCTGATCAGCTTATTGCTCACTCTCCTTTCAGTAGATAAAACTATAGAATGGAGATGAATATATTGATTGTTCATTTTTTTTTCTTTCCTATTTCTAGTGGATTGCTTTCTCTTCTCTCTTATCATGTTTATCGATTGTTTACGCATCACAAGGACGACATTATGTAAAATGAATAGTATATAGTCAAGCTACCGTATGAAGTAATAGCACATATAAAAGTCAACCAATAAAATAAGACACGCATCAACATTACAACAAGGTTAGTAATGATAACACTAGTTTTGCAACATTAATACTTTAAAAAAAGATTAAAAAAACTAGGCTGACGCTGTTTTTTTCTATTCAAAATTATTTAAATTAAACAGACTTCAGTGAGGAAATATTTAGTATTCTCTAAGAAGAACACGTTCCACTATCAAACTGCAGATTCATCCTTGCGAAAATCATAACAATTGTATCCGTAAGACTATCAAAATATAAATGAGCGACAACCTAGAAATTATGAAGTAAATAGGTCGTAAAATAATATTTTGAGATGCGCCTTATCATGTTTGTGTGAGCTCCTGTGGTTACACGTCATATTTTGAAGAATGGTATATGCTGATTGTTATGGTATTACATTTACAGCATCCGACCGTGACAAAATAGAAAATGTACGCATAGTCAAAGTACATCATCCAATTATCGAATGTTTAGCTAGACTAGTTTGTAAGAGTGTTCTGCAGTGCATGTTTCAAGTGTTTCACCAAACTGAACTATTTTGCTACTCCGGGCGAAGAATACCAAATTCATATTTACTCAATATTTCATCATATACGACCGTATTTTAATGGTTTACACGATTCAGTATTATGATCATATATTGTCGTAATCATTCATGGAGAAAAAGGGACCATAAGAGAAACCGAAAACAAGAATCGTAAACGACATCTTGTTTTCTTATTTCGTCCTATTTCTCCATATACGGTTTTCATATATGAACTCCATAACCATGACATTTACGATCGTAATACGGAGTCAAGTAATATGGCAATATACGATGACTTAGAATGGTTTACGTGTGTGCTTCTTCAACCTCGACTGTGTTAAAGAAAGCTGAGAGTAATTATTGTAGTCTCTGAACTGTGTTCCACACTACCGCATCCAAGTATATTAGCATTGGAAAAGTAAAGACATACCAGAGGTAGTACATACAGTGCGCCTCAATTGATTTTTCCCTCTTGATATTCTTTTGTTTTTATTGCTATACTTTTATTTATTAACCTATCATATATAGGAAGAAAGCCCGGAACACACTGCATCTTTTGGTATATTTACATTTCACATCAGATGCAACTTAAAGTCTAAAAAATGTATTGGAAAAAAGTGACATTTTTTTTTACTACAGGGTGTCCACAATATGGTAACATTTTTTATTTCGCGTATATCTCGGCTTTGGTAAATGAAAATATTTTGAATTTTTTCCAGAAGATGTGCCGTGAAAAGCTCTACAAAAGCTGTATGATCAAATTCCTTTTTGCATGTTCTGATGGTTTTTCTTATACTCAAAATGAAAAACCCATATGACAGTGCCACTATCCATCATATTAAAAATGTTTGGAAGACTTTGTATTTTGTATATATCTTGACTTGAGAAAATGATGGAATATTGAATTTGTTTTTGAAAGATGTGCCGTTGACAGCTCTACAAAACACGTATAGACCAAATCCTATAGCGAATCAGAAAAGTCCTCAAAATATTTTCTATATGATGGAAAGTGACACTGCCGCGTAAGTTGTTCATTTTGAGTATAAGAAAAACCATCAGAACAGGCAAAAAGGAATTTGATCGTACAGCTATTGTAGAGCTTTTCACGGCGCATCTTCTGGAAAAAAATTCAAAATATTTTCATTTACCAAAGCCGAGATATACGCGAAATAAAAACTGTTACAACATTTTGGACACCAGGTATTGTAGTGAAAAAAATGTCACTTTTTTTTCTAATACATCTCTTGCACTTTAAATTGTATTTGATGTTTAATGTAAATATACTAAAAGATGCAGCGCGTTCCGGGCTTTCTTTCTATACATAATAGGTTAATAAATAAAAGAGGTATAGCAATAAAAACAAAAAAATATCAAGAGGGGAAAATCAATTGAGGCGCGCTGTAGTTTAGCTGAAATATATGCAACAACCTCATTAGATAATGAATCGTTGCTAACACTTGGCAAAAGTACTTAACTCATTAAGCTACTCACATAAGCTTTAGAGCAATATTTTCGAGCGAGACTGTTCCCTCTCTATAGATCATTACAGACCATTCAGAACTCGAGTTTTCTGAAGTTTAATTATTTGTTTTTAATGATCTGCAAACCTTAGAAAAAGATCAGCTCTATATTTTGTAGCGATCATATGACATTCAGTAAGTTTATGAATATTTTCGTGAATATGTTAACGAGTACCATTTAACACCGGAGAAATTTCATGGTGAAGCATACTAGAATCGTTTGGAAATGACTAATGCTCTTCTTTTCACAAATATTAATAGATTTTATTTCGACTTTTTATATACGCAATAAAGCTGACTTTATCAAGAATTAAAAAAGTCTAATGGATTGATGTTGAACGAAATTGAACATATCAAAGACAAATAATGAAAGAAAGTTCATAATTTTGCCACAATACTTCTCTTTCTATCGATTTCTGCGCAAGTGTAGGATAAAAAAACATTCTGCTACTTTCATGTCAACACGCTGCTAAATAATCTTCGTAGTAAACGAATGAATTAAATAACCTACATGTAAAAAGTCTTTGCATAAAATATATGTTCAATTTTCTTTCATTTAAAGGTCGCAGGAGACAATCAAAAGTAGTCAGCTAGAATGAGAATTTCATGCTGTTTCTTAATATATATCCAATTTTTTTTTCTGAGTTAAAGTTAATCCAGTAAGAGCAAATCTTCGATGGGAACCAAAAACAAAGATTGTACAGAATTTTCGATGCAGTGCATTTTTGTACATTGATTAAAAGTACCTCAATTCTAATTATAAGACAGCCTTTTTATATGCTAGTTTGTAGAGCGAAGCTTGCTCTACAAAATCAGCAATTTGCTTAGCTTTCCATATATTGCTGAAAAGCGACAGAATCTATTGTATTGTAAATATCAAAATTCTCAAAAAGCGGTTATTTTGAAAAATGTTATCTCATCTGCAGAATGGCATTTGGAAAACTGTTTTCAGATATAACTTATTGTAATTCATGATTTTGTATAGTATGAAATTCTCTATAAAACTAGAAAGGAAAACGTATTCCAAAATACTCTTTCGAGAAATTTCACATCATAAAAAACACTTATTTTGTGTGATACAAACGACATTTTTTATTTAATCAGGTATTTGTGTATAGTTCACTAGCCATAAGTCGGGGGGAAAGTTCGAAGGATATATTTAAAAAGAATTTCAAATTCTAGTTCTATCTAACTAGTTTCGATCATCTTCAATTACAGTTACATGTCCGAAAAATGAGTAAACATAGTTATTAAGACCTTTGAAACTAGTGTTTTGTACAAACGTCATTTTTGGTACCTATCAAAGATTTGCTCTTACTAGATTAACTTTAACTGAGAAAAAAAAATTCTGAATATATATTTAGAAAGAGCATGAAATTCTCATTCTAGCTGACTACATTGGATCGTCTCCTACAACTTGTAAGTGAAAGAAAATTGAACATATATTTTGTGAAAAGACTTTTTACACGAAGGTTAGTTTGACTCTCTTTTAATAGAGAACTACAAATCAGTTATCATGTTTTTCTTTTATCTTGATACAAGGAAAATAATATGCTGACTCGTTTCATTTATTCTCGATTGCATCCGAATCCATTTTGGACAAATGTATTATTCTATGAAAATGTCACTGACAAGGACTTTCTCGACCACAATTGGCAATTACGAAACACATTAAATGCTAAAACAATTGTTAATTTATTAAAGAACTTTCCTGATTTTTACTCTGACTTTCAACGAGCTCAGTCAAAATCAACCATGTCTGTGAAATTGACACCTTATATAGCATCCCTTATTGATTGGAATAATATATACAACTGTCCCATACGAAAGCAATTTTTACCTGTCCATAGTACAGCTGAACCTGATCATCCAATGCTAAAATTAGACTCATTACATGAACAGCAGAACTCTCCTGTTCCGGGTCTTGTTCATCGATATCCAGATAGAGTACTCTTTTTGACTACCTCAATATGCCCAGTTTATTGTCGATTTTGCACACGAAGTTATTCTGTCGGTTCGGAGACAGAGATCATCAAAAACAAAGCCAAGTTAATTCCAAGCAAATCACGTTTTGAAAAGATCTATGATTATATTGAACAACATGATGAAATCGAAGATGTCGTTATAAGTGGTGGTGATACTTATCTTCTTCCGTGGAATGTTCTTTTGGATTTGGGAAAGCGATTACTTAATATTGAACATGTTCGACGCATACGATGCGCCACAAAAGGCTTGTCAGTTATGCCCATGAAGATTCTTAATGATAAAGAATGGTTCGATGCCATAGTTTTGTTAAATCAACTAGCACGTGCTCAGTCAAAGACATTCGCCATTCACACTCATATTAATCATCCAAAAGAGATCACATATGTGACAAAAGCGGCTGCTGATAAGTTATATAAAGCTAATGTTCATGTTCGTAATCAGACTGTCCTATTGCGCGGTATCAATGATAATTTCCACACAATGCATGAACTAATAAAATATCTATCGTACATTAATATTCAACCCTATTATGTATTTTTACATGATATGGTATATGGAGGTGAAGAATTTCGCACGACACTTGCAGCTGCTATTGATCTTGAAAAAGAACTTCGTGGTTCGATAGCTGGCTTTAATATGCCTCAATTCGCTGTCGATATGCCGGGTGGTGGAGGAAAGCGGCTAGTTTCCACATTTGAAGCATATGATCGTGATACAGGTATCAGCATATTTCAATCATCACGAATCATGGAAAGAAAAAGCGATCGTGATAAATTAGGATCAAATTTATACTTTTATTTTGATCCACTTCGAAGTGTGTCCAGCAAACACCAACATAAAGATGTAAGCGAATTCATTAACTTGGTTCAACAACTACTTGCTACTATTCAGAATCATACTCCACATGAAGATGGCAATTGAGAATCAATATTCAACTGTGAAAGCCTTATTCATCCATCCAATACTACCATGAACACGAATCTGCGAAAAACTAAACTTTCCATCAAAATTTTTCCATACTTTACCTATAACAACAGACTATTTTTGGAGGCATAAAACACCTAACATTTAAAACCAAAAGCACCACACTAACTCTTAAAACATACACCATGAAAAGCGTCCGACGAACATTTTCTATAGAATCCATTTTCTACCTCCACGCTCATGTATGCTTCTTGGTTCATTGCCCTATTACATTACACACGCATCTAAATGAAACTATGTGATAAACTATTTGATCTTCTCTCGAAAGACAAAAAGATTCTCTCCTATCAAAAGATATTCTCCGTCTAGTATATGCTAAAACTGACGAAAAATATAAATCCACATGCGCGTCAGCCTAAAAAAACAGTCCACCTCTTCTCTGTATTTATTTGGCGAGCGAGAGGGTGTGAGTATGAATGTGGGTGTGGGTATGGGTGTAGGTGAGTGTCGGTCTGGATATGGATGTGAATGGATGTCGGTGTGGGAGTGTTTCATATTAGATGGATTGAAAGTAACAGACGACGCATTTCAGCTTTGGGTTTCTGCTGTTGATCCGAGTAAGCCATTGATTCACTGGTATTGGAGCCGCCTTTCATCTGGAACTTTTTCGTGATGGTGGTGGATTAATTCAGTTTATCTAAAAGAATCAAATATCAACATTATGGTTAATGTTTGAATTGAGAGAAATATTTTATGTTCTAGAGAAAGGGTAGTTGCAGTTTAGTGATGGTGTTTTGTTTTATTTTGTTTTTAAAGAAGAGATACAATGAGATAAATGGTTGAGGAAAAATAAACTTTTTTTTTAATGTTGTCTTATAGGCGTCCGTTGCAACCTGATAGTAGTTGGTGTCTGTCCATCTTCTATACATGTTAACATCGCTCGCGAGGAATTTTTGTAGATAAGAAATGTTTCTAGTGTTCGCTGAGTAGTATTGGCTAGTCGAACTTAATTATGCCTCCAAAAAAGGGAGGAACAGGTGCAAACAAACAAGGACAAAATTACATTAATTCTATTAATGCAATACAAGGTCAAACAGCAGTAGCTAATGTTTGAGGAACAATGGCGGTGAGTCATAGTCCGAGAACAAAGGCTTCTGGAAGAACAAAGGCTTCTTTAGGAACAAAGGCTGCCCTGAACAAGCAATCAAATTTTAGCATCGCTCCTCTAGTTCTAGAGGCCGTGAAGCTAAAAAGATTACAATTAAATGATATTATGAAACAACATTTGAAGGACTTACGAATTTCTGATATTCAGCTAAGTCGAACAGGAATTTTCACAATATATGCAATCGATGTCAACTCATTTAACCGTCTGTTAAATGAGCTGACACCAATTCTTGCAACAAATGGACAGGCTACAGCAAAAGTCTATGTGCCCCGTTCTATTCAACGTATTAAAGACACAGAAAAAGTAGTGTTTGTAAAAAATGTCGACATAGAAATTTCTGAAAGTCGAATAACTGAAGCATTGAAGGACGTTGGACTCGATGCTGTTGATGTTGTTCGACTTACGAATAAAGTCAAAAACATGCCAACTACAACCATCAAAATTACGTTTATTGATCCACAAAATCGTAATACATTCGTACATACTGGTATACAAGTGGACTCAACGCATTTCGTAGCTGAACCAGCAACACAAAACACCAAACCAGTACAATGTTATATATGCCTTAAATACAATCATGTAGCAAAGTACTGCAAAACCAAGCAACAGATATGTGCTCGATGCGGTGATAACCATCAAATGGGTCAATGTACTGCTGCTCCGGATTTGTTGAAATGCTGTAATTGTAAAGGTAATCATTTAGCCACATCTAATGATTGTTCAAAATTTATAGAACAAGAAAAAAGACTGCAAAATATGGCCAATCAATATACAACATCTTACAAGGCAACAACAATACCATCATTAAAAGATCTTCAAGAATTTCCATCATTACCAAGCATCGCACATCGACAACAAGAACATCTACACAGTGATATCTTGAATAAAGTAGTCAACATTCTATCTAGTAAAATGGAAAAGATTATTGAAGAAACAACAAGTCGTCTAATAAAATCATTCCAGCAAAGAATCAAGACGATCGAAAAGACCATTGCCGCAGTAGAAAATATCATCAGCGACGACGATATGGTTATCGACTCGATGCCTGATTCTGACAGCGAAGATGATATTAAAGTAGTAAATAACAAAAAGGTTAAACAACAACAAAAACAATCAACAGATGCAGGCAAACATATTAAAAATAAGAACAACCCTCCGTCCACATTAATCACAACAACAACGCAACCACCAGCTATTACAACCGACGCTTCAACTAAAGCCCAACGTAAACCCAAAACAATATCTAAAGCAGTCAAACGAAATCGTTTCCCCAACAGTTCATTAGATTACACTACAACTGATAACAAAGAATTAAAAACAAATATTAATGAAGATTAGTGTTTTTCATATTAACATCAACTCCATTACAAAACATAAATACGAACTCCTTACCAGATTCTCCAAATACGACGTCATATCTGTAAATGAAACTAATCTGAAAAGAGATCAACCGTTCTCTCTGAAAGGTTACAACATTTTCAGAAACGACCGAGTAGGAAAACCTGGTGGAGGAGTATTACTTGTAGTCAAACAACATATTAAATATAGTGAAATACTTAACAAAACTGTCGGAAAGAATGAAATTATAGCTATTGAAACTGCTACACAATCACTAAAGAATATACTGATTTCGTCCATTTATGTACCACCAACAGTGAAAATCTACATCAACATTTTCAACGAATTATACAACTTAAACAACAACTGTATTATATTAGATGATCTTAATGCAACGTTATACAATATGGGATCAAGAAAAACAAAGGCTAGAGGAAGATAATTACAAGAGGTAATCAATGAAGGTTATATTAATTGTATTGATGATGACAGTACGACATTTGAAAAGAATGACTATGAAGAAAAGATTGATTGGGTATTAGCTAGTCAACCACTCCATTCACTAGTTTCAAACGTCGAAACACATCCAACAATTGGTACGTTAAGTGGCCATAAATCACTAACCTTCGATATCCCAATTGGAACTGAACCAAAACCAGCATCACCAAGATCATCCCTAAATTTCAAGGCAGCAAATTGGCCGAAATTTAGAACTAAATTAAATAAACAGCTTATGATATGGAATAAAAATCGTCGTATAAATGTTGCAGCAGATATAGAAGAATATTCGTCGTTTATTACCAACAGTTTTACTGTTGCAACACAAGAAGTCATACCAACATCCATACAACTGAATACTAATATTAAACTAAGTGAAACAACCAAACATCTAATCCAGCTCAGACATAAAACTTATCGAAAATGGAAGAAGACTGGCGAAGACAGTGAAAAACAACAATATTATAAATGCAAGGCAATTTTAACTAATTCACTTAGAAATGATAGAAAAAATAATTTCAACAGACTTATGTCATCATTATGTCAAAAGAAAATGTATTCAGACTCAGTATGGCTTAGAGTTCGCAAATTCCACAACAAGCGAATCAAACAAAGTAATGTCAACAACGTCAAATATAACAACAAAACAGCAACATCAGACAAGGAAAAAGCCAACCTATTTGCTGAATATTTCCAAAATGAAGTTTATGTCAAAACACCTGACACACTACCATTTCACCAACAAGTAACAAGGCAAACATACAACATAAAACACAGATCTTCAAACATGAAACTAAACAAGTGGAGGAAGATCACGACTAACGAAGTTAAATGGACTATCAAACAACTCCGCAACAGCTCCGCGGGTCCTGACAACATTCACAACAGATGTTTGAAGAATTATACTGCATCACTTATTCAACATCTGACAAAATTATTCAACTCGATATTAAATATTGGATATATGCCAAATGGATGGAAAAAGGCTAATATCATACTCTTGTTAAAGCCAAATAAAGATAAACAACATCCTTTAAGCTATCGTCCGATTAGTCTCCTCAGTTGCCTTGGCAAACTATTGAAGAAAATAATCAAGCAACGACTGATGCTAATATTTGAACGGCGTAACATCCTACCACAACATCAAGCTGGCTTCAGACCTAAAAAGAGCACCTTAAACAACATCATAAGTTAACAAGATATGCACAAAATCATCTACAACAAAATGGTTGTCGACGACATGCAGCTGTCATACTATTTGATATAAAAGGAGCTTTTGACTCTGTCTGGCATGATGGTTTAATATACAAACTAAATGAATTACGTCTTCCTCAATACTTAATAAACTACCTCATGTCATTCTCACCAAATCGAACTGCTAAAACCGAAATAGAAAACAGCTTATCAATACCATTTAATTTAAACAGCGGTACTCCACAAGGATCTCCATTATCACCATTATTATATATTATATGCACGGCAGATTCATTGAATGGAATACCGGAACACACGGAATATGGTCTATTTGCCGACGACACTGCTCTATGAACATCTTCAAACACAACATCAAGCCTTAGCAACAGATGCATTTCAAAGTTGGTGCAAATCATGGAAACTAAAACTTCAACCAACAAAAACTGAATAAGTCCATTTCACTGTCCATCCAAGAAGAAAATTTAAAAATCCAATCTCCGTAAAAATAGATGATCTAACAATTCAACCAACACATTCGACAAGATACTTAGACATCATCATCGATAAAACGTTAAATTGGAGAAGTCATATCCATCATATCGAATCGAAGATTGCTGGTCGTATCAGTTTACTGAGATTCTTAAATAAAGCATCTTATGAACCGAATGATAGAATAGTGTTAAATATCTTTAAGTCAATAGCAAGAACGATCCTTATATATGGTTATCCAATATTACACACAGCTAATGATAGAATATGGAAACGCCTACAGATTATCCAAAACAAATCAATACGTCCAGCATTAGGATTGCCCATCTACATATCAGTTGAATATATTCATAAAATTAGCAACATACCAAAAATTAAAGAATATGCCATGACATTACTGCAAAGATATATTAAAACTGCAACACCCAACAACGACAATGAACTAAAGCACAATTTACAAGAAATATTGAACCGACTTTAAATATTAAACACACTTCGAAAAAATCACCTACCTCTCACTTATAATGTATTCATCGATATTATAGACCACTGATGAATCGACCGAATCCATATAAAAATTGTTATATCGGATTCGCATACCTCAAGTTTGCATCACATACAACGTTAAAACTAAATACAACGTATAACCAATATTCATGAGACAAAAGATACTCGTCATGCGTCTCTCCGTCTGTTTCCAACCTTTTGTATATAACATTTTGTTTCTTGTTTTTATTCTCTTTAACGTCATAATAAAGGCTTTGACTCCAAAAAAAACCATCAGAAGCTTGGAAATCATTTAAATTTAATTCACGAGCCTTTTTAAGATCCCATCTTCGTAAATCAATATCATGAACAGATAAATATTGATGTCGAGCATGTTCAAATTGATCAAAAACATAAGTATCAACACTGTCCATTTTTTTCTTTTTTTGTACCACCCACTTCTATATACTTACGATAATGAGCAATACATTGTGGATTTGGTACACGTTGAAAATATGTTTTATTGTTCTCCATTTTCTTTTTCGTTTACCTGTAATTGGATTTATTTCGTCATAACAATCAACCACACGTTTCATATAATCGAGTGAGAAATGATTTTGTAAATTATGTTCATGAATAAGTTCATAATCAGTATCTTTAAGTGGATCAAGATGGTCGTGTGTGGATGTAAATGCTAAGAGATTCTCTACATCTTGATTATCTAATTGTTCGTCATGATCCAATGTAGTTTTCGTTTCAAGTGTACGAGAAGTACTTTCCAAAATAAATTCCAAACATTTATAGAAATTTAATGCAACATGTTCTTCATCGAAACTGATTGAAGATGATGAATTACAGGATAATTTATCTGATGTCAGATTTGATAATACTTTTAACACGTTATGGGGATTAAGCATTTTTATTGTTGATAAATATAAATGATGAATAAATAAAAATGTGCTTTTTGTTTTGTCACTTTGTGAACGCAGTCAACCAATAACTGGTTTTTAGTCAGAAAGAAGTATTATTTTATCACGTACATAGAATGTTTATTATTTCAAGCAACTGATATATATACAAGAATGCGAAAAGGAGAGAATTTACTAGAATGTGATAAAGAGAAGAGTATTCACCAAAGAATACGAGAGAGAACATATGATTCATATAGAAACAAAACGAATATACTGGAACATATGACTAGAAAAGACGACGCATATACATACACGTATGACAGCACAACAAAAGAGGGTATATATGAAATACGTACATGATGACGCCACAATAACGATAGAAAGAAAAAGACGAATAAGTAACAATGCATAATATCAGTTTTAAAAAAATTAGCTCGCGAAAACATTCCTTTATTGAAATATCATAATCTAATTTTTATGGACAATACAGTAATGTCATTTTCACTGAAACTTGTTGTGCTTGCTTCTCTACAACGAAACGGCAATGGGATCAATCCTCTTAGGGTTTTTATCTACACTATGAGCCCTACATATGGGAAAAATATGAGCTCAAACTGAGTGAATCAGTTGGTGAGGTTCCCTCGTAAGTCACGATCTTCAGCTGAAATAGTTTTACAAGTTCCTTCAATATCCAATCGACAGACACAACAAATTCTATGATTTTATAATTTAGAACATTTATTCATAACAAAAAACTTTTCTCACGTATGTGCTGAACCTGTGCAATTCATCGCCGAGGTAATAGTTTCATTTCTTAAGACTCCATTTAAGCTTGGATCTGATGCAAATGTTGGATCAGACACACCCTCTTGATTTAAATTCATCGTGTTATTCTAATCAGTGAATAGAAAAACAAAAGATACATGAATTTTTGCGAAAAAATTATGTTTATCTACTGAATTAGTGTTAGTAATTTCTTCAATATCCAGCAATTCTTGTTCTACGCGTGCAAAAATATTCCCAAACTCAAAATTCTTGTTTTTCCAAGTATAGTAAGCACCACGACAAGAATCGCACACTTTTTCTTCGGGAGAAATATATTTCATTGTTCTAATTGAAATGAACAATCGTAGACAAGGAGATTTCAATTATCTTGTAAAGGAATCTCCAAATAGCACAGAACCACATGGACAATAATAATGCGACATATTTATGTATTTTATTTTCGAAACAATACTTTATATATTACGAATAACATGCGACAATAGGAAAGATTCATTCAATTTTTTTTCGTTTGGCCACCACCCTTCTTTCTTACACGTGGTTATTTTATGCTGGACAAATATCCAGTGCATATATAAATTGTCTTCCTTCTGTTCACCACCTAAAAATGAAAGCATCATCTTCCTCTTATATTTTTCATTTACATCAAAATCTCTCTTCCTTATCCAAATTCTATTGGTACATCTTATTCTTACACAGATCTTAGAGAAACTTCGGTAAGTTTTTCATATTTTAAAATGAACTGATAGCTCTATTAAACAGCTATCGATTCAGATAAAAAACGGCCTTGATTAATTAAATCGACAGTCTATAAATACATATACTAATATTAGAAACATTCTATAATTGTCACGTATGATAACGATGCCATGAAGGTAAGGTCGTGCTGAGCCATACTGGCCAGAGATATTTTTTCACTCTTTTACACGATTTGATAGCTCTCATAAAGAGCCACCGATTGATATATAAACTGAAACGATAGTTCATTTCAGTAGTGCATAATGAGCAACTGATCTTATAGATGGTAACAGCTTATAAGGGTATATGATCATATGTTATAAATAGGTCCGCAGCACGCCTACACACATTCAATCGATCTGATTTTGATAGTAAAATATTTTTGAGATCTAATGTGACTATTTAATAAGAAAAGATCGGAGTTTCTGGGGGGGGGGGGGGGGGGGGAGGAAGGAGAGTTGATTTTGCCTCTTATCAACCCCCTCCTTTCACAAGCATGATCCCTAAATCAATTTTGTTCTGCGGATGTGGATGCACAGTGTGGGTTGGTGCGATTGTCGGTTCGTCGTTCATTTAAATCCATAGCCATAAATCCACACCCAACACACACTACAAACACGTCCATACCCCGCACAACAGGATTTTCGACCCATTCAATGATGATCTTTTGAAGCAAGATATTATGGATTTTTGAACGACGGACTACTGAATTTTTAGGGGACGCTTTCGTTTCTGAATTGATATGAAATCTCCAAACCGAAATCTTTTCTTTGTCTTTCGGATTGCGCTATTTAAGCTCCGATTACACATCGTCACAAACAACTAGAAATAATTATCTCTTGAACTCGTACCAAATCACCATAAAAATAAGAAGAATCTTTACGTGTAGTTGAACAAGCTCCATCGAGTTTTACATTTTAATCTCACGTGGATCGCTCTGAAAGTTTTTTAAAGTTAAAGTGTCGCATCTAAACATGCCTCAAATTAGTTCTGATGTAACGGTAGGAAGAAAAGACTATTCGTTTGAGCGAAGAATCATTAAAATCTCGCTCGATGAGATCTACCACAATTGCTTTTTATCATCTGGACTTAAACAAGTATTTATTCGAAGATTTTTTTAATTATGCTAAATTTTATTCGTGATATCCATGTATTTTTTTCTGTTTTTTTTTATACAATTTTTGCGAACGCTTACGAACCTAGGAGTCAACAGACAAGATAACGATAACAAACAGAGAAGGAATGACAAGGAAGTGAAAACGAACAGAACGAACATCGAAATCGAGGCAGTAATGACGAGGTCGGCGTGCATTGCTGTTCTTCCTTCGCTCATTCCTTCGATACCATATATCTTGACACCGAACACACCGTGCTGGGGAAAGGAATCGAACCTTCTGATGTCTGACTAACAATCAGATGCATAGAACCACTACGCCATCCCCGACACTTATTCGAAGATAAACGTGAAAGACCAGGATCCTTCTATGGCGATGATGATAATGAATACCAAGTTTTGCTTGAAATATATTAATAAACTATGCTATTGATGATTAAAAATGAAAATTTGATTCAGTCGATATCAGATCAATGTATTACGCATTAGATACTGATATGTCTGTTGATTATTAAAATAAAAGTTAATGAAACAAAAAATGAAATAATAA